TGTAGAGCCCATTCTAACAACTGTCTCCATCATGGAAGTCAATCTCTGTTGCACATGCTCTCTTCCAGATACAGGGCCAGTCCAAGATGTTTTGTTGCCTGAAGTGGAAAAGCAAATGGTACCTAAGGTGCATAATGCCCTAGGTCAGCTATATTATTTTGGCACATAAGGCAGAACATCCATGCCCTCTAATTGTCCCAATTTGGCAAGGACATTCCTAGATTAATCTTCTACATTCCCACTTTTCAGTTGCTTTTAAAATGTCCCAGTTTTTCTCCCCTCCTCCCACTTTCCCCTGTCCTCCTCAGCTCATTTCCATTGCTGTAAACTGAGTTCAAAGTGCAAAAGTGGTCTGTATTCAGTTAATGCAGCAAGGGGAAGATGGGAAGAGTGTTGCTGTAAACTGAGTTCAAAATACAAAAATAGTTTAACTCAACTCAGCGGGAAGGAGAGGAAGGGGCAGACTCTTGCCTTTCTCCGTAGTCTCAGTCAAAAACAAACTGCTGCAGCCTTTTAGCAATAAAAACACAATAATAATAAATTTAATAACTAACAATTTGCTTCATTTCATGACAACTCCAATGAATCTTCCCCTTATCCCTCTCTCTTTCTTTCTGCTACCCTCTTTTCTTTGTTTGTTTTTTCCTTCTTCTTCCTTTGCTTGTACTGAGCCAAAAACTTGTAGAGGTTCCTTGAAACTGGGACAAGGGCTACATGAGACCAGACTGATGGCTGCAGGCCATCCTACAACCCCCAGATTACTCAGTTGTGGTTTTTAGACCCTTTTCCAGTGCGTAATAGCAAAAGGGGTGGGCTTACAAAATGACCCTAAGAACACAGATGCGTTGATTTTCCTTTGTGAAATGTAGGAACCTATGTGCTGCAGTGGTGTCATTGGGTGGGTAGGTGGGTGCAGGGAGTGTGGACCACACCAGGTGACTCCCCAGAGGAGGGGTGACTATTGATGTAGACTCAACTCAGTTGACTCAGACGTAAATCAAACTCAAGTTGCTTCAATGACTTGACTTGGACTTGACTTGGCAAAAACAACACATTGACTCAACTTGCCATGAGACTTGTATATTTTTAGTGGCTGACTTGCTGATGCCATTGAGTTTGAGCAGCAGGCAAGACCCTCCCCCAGAGCTCTGGGCACAGGAAATGCATTAGACAATGGGCTTAAAATGGAAGGATCCTTCCGAAGCTTTTGTAGAAGGCTCCTCTGATGTGCAGCAGGGACAGACTGCTGAGCAGACTTCAAGCCGCACCTCAAGCCCATTGCTTAATGCATTCCCCTCTGAGAAATGCACTGCACCTCCTTTTTTTCTGTTAAAAGTTGGCTCCCAGATATGAGATTTGATATGAGACTTGATTTGAAAGTATCTTGCGAGGACTTGAGACTCAACTTGAGACTTGAAGGTAGAGACTTGGGACTTGAATCGAGACTCGGACTAAAAGACTTGAATTACTAGGGTTGACACCTGGTTGGGCCCTCCTCCAATGTCAGAGCAGGAGGAGCGAACATGCACTGGCTTTCTCCCTGGGGAGGAGGCCTAGTGATGGATCAGCAAGAGAGGCAAACATGCCCCCTTTGTCCCTTCCCACTGCCTCACTTGCCTGACCAGGGCGATGCAATGGCTGGGGATGGAGGGATGGCAAGGGAGTCCATCCCCACCTGGCAACCTTTCCAGGGTCTGGCCAGGATAGGTGGTGGGCAACTGAGCTTTCAGAGACAAGGGTTAGGCTTCTGAATTAGTGGAAGGGGTCAGGGCAGCCCCCCCCCCCCGCAGCCCTTTGTACTGGGTGATAACCTAACTAGTGACACCATTGATGTGCTCTTTTATTAAAGACAATATGGGCAAGGAGAAGCATCTTAGGTTGTTGTTGTTATTTCTTTTTCATCATCATCATCATATTTATTTGTATCCCACCTTTTCCCGAAACTAGGACTCAGAGCAGCTTACAGTTTAAAAGAACAGGACTATTAAGAACATACAAAAGTGGTGAATTAAAACAGAATTAAATTATTAACAGTATTAAAACAAGTTCTGCATTCTCCAGTGCTACCACTGGATGGGGACAGAGCACTAAGCTTCTTTGGATCTTCTACACACCAACTGAGAATTTAGAGTTTGTTGTAGCCTTCAAGAGGTTTCCTACTCTAAGGTGAACTTATTGCAAGATTTTGTTTGGCAAGGTCCTCATTCCCACTTACATTTAAACTGGTTTGTGATTCGCCTTTGCTCTATGTTGGTGAATCTATTTCAAAAGGTCTGTTGTTCCCACTATGAAAGTGGGTCTTTTCATTATTCCTTTGTAATCACTTCTTTTTTGGCATGGTTGTCGTTCACACTAGTTTGTGCCGCTTCAAAATGCATGTCAATCATTTACGTGTCATCGGTGACGCAAGAGGCA